ATGCTGATTCATAGCACACATAATCCCGTGCATGCATGGTACGGAGCTGCAGGCGCGCACAGGTCCATTTTGTATTCACGGATTATCATAATGTTGTTTGAGTTTGTCCTTGAGAGGACAATCGTACTTAAAAGGGATAAATGCAGCTCAGTGTTAAAGTATCATTAAGCCTGGCTGAAGGAGATTGTCTCAAAAACAGTTTGTTTTTTCAAGAAATTATGCAAGCTGAAGATGAACTTTAATAAAAACTAATGTTTCTGTTCTGTTATTGCTCCTCGTGGGGAAATCTTCTTTTAGCAAGACCGCTTTAGGAAGGTCAAAGATCATAATCTGTCACACAATATTATGAAACTTGCTAAAAATTAATCTTTTTCACAGCCTTAATGATTGTATAATCTAGATTTCCTTTTATTCTTTTCCCTTCCCTTTATTTCCTATTATTAAAGCAGATGAGAAAAAGCCTGCGGGACTGACTCAGAGTACATGTGTGGGAATAGTTGCCTAAGCAATATGCAAAGCCAAATGAACAACACACTGTAGGATTAATAGATTTTCAACAGGTATTCAGCCAGGGATACCAAAGGAAATGAAACAATTGCCTGCAGATTACTGCACGGTATCGAAACGGAGAAAAAAAACCAGATCGAGTTTTAAAGAATGCTGTGTGTGTGTGTTTGTTCCGTTCTGCAGCAACCAGGCGGTGAGGATGCTGGAGTGCAGAGAGAAAGCTACACCGGACATGTTCGGAGAGCTGCTCCGCAACGCCAGCAACATGGGAGACCTGCGCAACTGCCCTGTGAGAGCACACACACACACACACACACACGCACACGCACACGCACGCACGCACGCACGCACGCACACACACACACACACACGTAAAAACAACAGTGTACAAAATATAAACTGTGCTTTAAAGGGGACCTATCATGCAAAATGCACTTTTGTACGTCTTTTAAACATGAATATGTGTCCCCGGTGTTCCAGGGAACTCACCAAGTGTCAGAAAACACAACCCTCTCTATTTTCCTCCATACCCAAATCTCTAAAAAAGGGTCTGCAACGGATCTGATAAAAACTGATCCAGATTTAAACACTGTCCTGACGTCAGGACAGTGGCGCTACGGCTATTGGGCCAACTCCACCAATCAGGAGGAGACAGCCACGGCCATTGCCGTTCGAAAGCGCTGGAGACGCTGTAGTACATATGCCAGGCCAGTAGATGGTGCTGTTCTCACAGAATCAGCCCTTGCAAAAACAGAGCTAAAAAATGTCAAATTGAGCGAAATGAGGCATGGCTAAAATGCATGATCTGTTTGGTATTTTGAAAAAAAAAAAGTATAAATATGCTTTATATAGATATGGTCCTACACTATATTATTCAAATATAGCATGATAGGTCCACTTTAAATATTTATTTGAACCACTCTTCTATTTTTTTGTGTCATCAAATATGTAAAATCAGAAAATGTCTTCTTTCTAATTTGGAAAGAAGGTCCCCCCCCCCCCCCCCCAGAAAATAGAAGGATGATGGAATCCCATTTTTAAATATAATTTGCAGCGTAACCATTGGTAGTTTTGTTGTTTTTCTTTTTTTGTTGTTCTGTGTTAATCAGCAGCTCATTTTCTTTTCATTTTTCTTCCCACTTTCTATTACCGGTAGCTTTTTCTGAGTTCTCTTCATCGCCCTCCTTCACAGTTTATGATCAGCATTGTCTTGCACAATGATATAAAAAGAAAATGTAATTGTGCTGGAAACAATCGCGTCAAAAATACTCGTCCTGAAGAATGTGAGTCCTGCGGGAGTCTCACCTCTGTTTATCTTCCACCACTTGCAGCGCTGATCTTTCGTTAATACCACATTGGGCCTTGCTCAAACACAGTGAGGGTATTTGGATGGGAGCGAGGCTGCTGGGAGATACTGTAGAGTGGGAGGATATTTGCTTTGTGCAAAAGAGTTGACCCAAGACTCTCCACTGAAGTTCTAGAGTTTAATTTTACAGTTATTTAAAGTAAGCTCATGTGTTAATTATATTTGATATATAGATGCTGTAGTGCTTGTTTACCACTTTATAAAGTAACTACATTTAAAATGGTAAATATTTTTATTAAAAAGCAAGACATCAATTGTTTCCAATCCTTTTCTTACTCTAATTACTTGTATTCCTAAATTGAAAGATTTCAGTTTTTTGTGTTTTTCAGTTTTCTTTTAACTGGTTTAAAAAAGGCAGGGTGTTTATTTTTTCAGTGGTTTCACATAAAATCATAAACCAATAAGGGTTTAGCATTTCATAGGATGTAGGATATATAATAGGATTAAAATCCAAACACATTTGGGATGGTTTTTGAAATGCTCCGTTTGCTCAAAGTAAAAGTATGGAAGTAAAAGTTAAGAGAAAGTGTGGGAGAGAAACTCCCTCAGCAGGGAACTTTGGGATTTTAGCCTTTGCAGACCATTTCAACAAACTACAGGAAAGAGAAAACCCCAAAAAGCGTAATTGGGCCCCTTTGATTTGTGCTTTAAACTAATAGATTTAGATAATATGGCTATACTGTTGCCATATATCCATGTTGTTGATCTTCCAGAGCCAAACAATAAGTACATATAGTATGTTTTCATACCGCCTCTGTAGATGTGTGGTGGTTCAATTTTCACCAATCCTACATGATCTGCCTCCTCAGCATCTCCATTGATAAAGCGAGATTGTCTCTTTATGTCAGTGCTGTATGGAGTCGTGAGGAATCATAAGCACAAACATTTCCCTAAACTTGTTATATTCTGCTGTGAAGAATGCCACGATCAGCATTCTGCAAACCTACAGCATCCTCTGACCGGCAGCACTGTTATATAACTCACTCTCTCCTGGAAAGGCCTGCATGGCCACGGCACAAAAAGGGAAGAAAAAAAGGAAAGTCATCTTTGCATATAACCCTCGGAGCTGAGACCACACTGATCAGCGTTGTTGAAGCAGAGCAGATCTGTGTGTACGATCATGTGATGATGAATGATATTGTCAGCGGCTTTTCCCAGCAGTGAGAGCTCACTGAGGCTGCGTGTCCTCAGCTAGCGCATAGCCTGTGTCTCGGTGCTCTGCTGTTTTGGCTGAATTTAGAAGCAGACCCTGGCAAAATACCTTCCTGCCATCTCGGTGCCAGTGCAACACAGCATGCCGCCCACAAAGGCAGAGCTCTGTGTGTGTGTGTGAGACTGTTGTGTTTGGCAAAGTGTGTGGTTGCCAGGGTGTTCTCAGGCTGTTTCCGAGCACACTCTGCCAGCACTGCATGTGTGTGTGCGCGCTTATGTGTGTGTGTGTGTGCACCAGCTCTGCGGTGGGTCATGACTCAAAGGAAGGATTCAGAACACACGGTTCTGAACTCAACAGAAGGCTCAAGGGACAAATACAACTCAGCACAGCAACGCTTTCCTCTCTTACATTCCTTTATCTCTCACCCTCATTCTCAGTTTATTCGTGTGTGTGTATCTGCATGCATCTCTGCCAAATAAAGGGATGGTTTTAGCGACTACTGTCACACTCTAACACAGGATGAATAAACCAGTTTGATCACACGCCACTCTTCTCTCTCCCTCTCTCCCTCTCCCTCTCCCAGAGTAACTGTGGGGAGGTGCTGCGTATCCGCCGGGTGCTGATGAACTCTCCGGAGATCGTGTCCATCGGCCTGGTGTGGGACTCGGACCACTCTGACCTGGCGGAGGACGTCATACACAGCCTGGGAACCTGCCTGCGTCTGGGAGATGTGAGGGGACCACACACACATAACACACACACATAATACGGTCAATAAAATACATTAGCATATGTTACACATGTCAATGAGAGCAGCCAAGCACGTACACCCGAACTCTGACATAAATATAAATAAACTACCACTCCAAAATAAAATATTCTGCCACATTTTTTATTTATCCTCTGTTCCCCTAATAGATATTTTGTTGACATACAATAACATAACCGTCCTTGTTTTTTGGTAACATTTGTCAAGTGAAAATATTTCAGATATGTTATCCTTTTTTAATTAGACAAATCCATCAAAAAAACTATATAAAAACTCACCAATGGTTATCAATTTATTAAAAGAATATATATATATATTTATAATTCTTCAAAATCTGTGGTGTTATGGGATGACCAAGCAGAAATTATTAGAGTCCAGGTGCTTCTGTGTATCAGATTTTACTCATACTTATATATTTGGGTTGAGCTTGGTCCACAAGACTTCTGAGAATATTTTACTGCAATTACAAAAAAAAAAGTTCTCTAAGGATCAGATTTTACCCCCTTTTTTTACATTTGATCATTTTGGTTCATGAGATTTTCAACAGCAAGTCAAATGTGGATCTTCAGACCACAACATATTAAAAGTACTTTTTTGCTGCAAACGCTATAGTTACGTTTCCATCTTAATTCCCATGGACATCACATTCAAATAACATGGGCCATCCTGCAAATTGACTCCCTCTAGAAATGTAAAGAAATCTTTTAACTTCTTAAACCAGATTACAATCCTTTTTTTCCCTAGGCTTTAGGCTTACTCTTACTTATTACATATTTTCTGCGTGGGAAGTCGAGTACCGAAGGCTACGTGATATGTTAAGTTTAAGTGCTTGAATCGTGACGAGTGGCAATGAAATCTGATGTGGCCTTGCTCCCATTTCATGAATGGATAATTCTTTTTTCTTCCTGCCTGTCATGAAAGGGAAGACAAAAAGAGATAAATTGGTCTTCTATATTAAAAATGTGCAACATAGGCAGGGCTTTCTATAAAAAAGTAAATGACAGGACCTTAAGACGGCTCCTATAATCACTTGAACTCAAACTTTTGTCTCAGCCGGCCATGGTATTAATTTTTTATTTCAGCACGTCGGCTACACAGAAATGCCAATATTTGTTTATACAGTAAATAGTTGAATATTCAAATAAATGCTGATCCACGCTTAACAACAGCCCTCCGTTGGCACACAGCTGAACTCTCCCCCTATGGAGAGGGCTTAACACTTGACATACATTTACAGGCATGTACGTCATATAGTGACATAGGAAGTAGATATCAATCTGATGGCTTGATGACGCAGGCAGGCTAGAAAAAATATTTAATTTCATAGTTTTTGGGTTAGTTGGAACTCCAGAAACCCCAATGTATTTTCACACGCAGGAAAAAGTATGATTAATATTATATTCCCTCTCTAAATAAACAAAACCAGAAACTTAACCCCCACATCAGAGGTGCAAATACCCCGAGGCATGTTGAAACACACACTAGTGGTCCAGCATCGAGATATAAACACTTTCAAGGACACACATATACTACTAAATGTGCTCAACACTCAAATACACACTTAATGACAATCATAAATACAGAATACAACCATGTGCATGCGTCAGAGGCCAGGAAACTCGACCAATCCCGTTGCAGCTCACACTGAAATGAGAAATGAAAACACGCCACACAATGGAACACCTGACTTCCATTATGCTGTTAGAGCTTCTGCTTTCACACCTCTCTCACACACACACACACACACACACACACACACACACACACACACACACACACACACACACACACACACACACACACACACACACACACACACACACACACACTCACGACCCCTGATACTCTGTGTCATGACTGAGTAATGTTGATGCATTTTAATGCCACTGTAACATCTCCAGACGCATTCTGAAGCGATATCCATGAATAATGGATCAGTGAATATGACTATGTGTTACAATGAGTCAAGTTCTTCCCTCTATCTTCTATCTTCCCTCTCCGCCCGCCGCCGCTTCCCCTCGTTATCATCCCGCGGTTGCGAGATGAAGCTAGTTGTCAAATACAAATCGGAGGCACAATCTATCGCATTCTCTGCTTTTGTCTGCGCGTTCAAATCAGCGGAAGTGAATCCATCTGCCTCCTGAATCCCTCATCCTCTTCCACTGCTTTCCCTTTCTCTCTTTGTCTGTCCTCAGATTTCTCTCTTCTCAGCTTCCCTGGTACACTTTCATGTTCTATCCCTCCTCTATTAGATTGTTGTGGTCCTGAAACGATTCATCTTTTACAATAAATAGATAACATTAGGTCATTTATCAAGCAGAAATGTTGAGCACTTGCTGGAGCCAACTTCTAAAATATGAGGATTTTTGTTAGGTTGTATATTGAATGTCCATGAGTTTTTAGATTGTTAGTAGTGTATGGCTGCAAGATATGAGGAAGAAAGGCCATGTGGTTGAACATTGTTGGATATTGTCCTAATGACTTTACCTGGGATAAATAAACAGATACGTTTACTCAGGTCTTCTGCTTGCAGTATGCTAAACAAGTGCTTGTTGAAAAAACAAAGGAAAATATACTATTTCTGTCACTCTAAAGTGCAGTTTCCTAATGATACTAATCAACTAATACAACAACAAAAATCAGAGAATGCCTTTTTGAAAATGTTGGGAATTTAAAGGAAGTTACTTTATCTATGGAAATTGTGTGTAAACTTATGAGGAAGAATTGACTTACAAAGGTGATCCATAATTAGAGTAGTTGTTGGTTGCATTCCTAGATCAGTGAGTAAGGATATGCTTTTGCAGCAGCATGTGAATAACAAAACAGAACACAATAAAATAGAATGATACAGAAGGTCATGGTCTTAAACCCCTAACTTGTATCCCATTGTACTGCCTACGTAAGGTGTGCAAAGCAGTAGTATTAATGTGAGGTCTGTCCATCATTTCTGCATTTAACTGCAGTATAAATGTGTATCACTGTGCAGTATGTACAGTATGCAATGAGAGGAAAGTGAAGTATAACTGTATACAGCAGATGAACCAGGTGAGCAAAAATGTGCTTGTATTAACATTATCTCCCCCCCCCTGCTGCACACCTCTCTTCCCTGCATCCCTCCCTCCCTCCCTGTCTCCTCCCCTCTCTCCCTCTCTCTCTCTGTAGTTGTTCTACCGTGTGACAGAGGAGAGGGCTCGCCAGGCGGAGCTCTACTTGGTGGGCATGGTGTGCTACTACGGCAAGCACTACTCCACCTTTTTCTTCCAGACCAAGATACGCAAGTGGATGTACTTCGACGACGCCCAAGTCAAAGAGGTGAGACACAGTTTGGAGGCTGCATGCTGCAACACAGGGAAGGGGGTGCTGCTACAATATCTGCTGCATCTCCAGTTGTGCCTGCGAGTGCAGCTGCGATGACAAGAACTACGCTGTGTGTTAGTTCCACTGCTGCATGGTCAGCGGGGGCAGCTCGCGATTGATTATGTGTTTAAATGTTTAATCCCGCCCTTTGTTTTATTCTTGCCGCAGGTTTATGTGCTAGAACTGGTCTTATGGTGCAGTACTTCATGATTTATCTTCTATAGGGCTGGGAAATGATATACAGTATTGAGGAAAGCCGGGTTCGTTTGTGTCAAAGTGTGATATAAAGTGTCCTTGACCCTTTTATCAGTCCCGGTGTACACTTTGGCATATTAGGTTATTGAGCTAATGGAAAACTGTGATAATATGATACCAATAAGGACACAGAGCAGCACAGTGTGTGTTTGACCTTCTGGTTTTTGTGGAATATGCGTAATATTATATCCTAATACAGATAGATTTTCTTTATGTATGCTTGTGTGTGGGTTCATATGTATGTTTATGCGTGTGTGTGTGATGCCCTGCTGCACTTCCAGATCGGCCCTAAGTGGAAGGACGTGGTGTCTCGCTGTATCAAAGGCCACTATCAGCCCCTGCTGCTGCTCTACGCTGACCCCCGTGGGACGCCGGTGATACTGCAGGAGAGCTCCAACCCCTGTACCAGCTCCAACCCACAGCTGGAGCTCCAGCACTGCAGCAGCAAGGCCGGTTACGACAGCGAAGACTCTGGTACAGCAAAGACGACACACTCCGCTACAGATCAGATTACTCAGTGTTTATCATCCACGCGGGGGGGCATGTGAGGTTACAGATTTAAAGCCCTGACCTTCAACCCTTTAATCCAACTTCTGATTTTCTACTGCAGAGCTGGAACTTATTTCCCATGCCCTTTCACTGTAAACATATGGAGATACAGGATTAACTAAAAGGTAATCCCTCTTTTTTTTCTTAAAATCTTTTTTTCTATCTCAGGTCGGGAGCCGTCTATATCCAGCGACACTCGTACTGACTCTTCCACTGACAGCTCGAGTCACCGCGCCACCCGCAGCCGATCCCTCCACCAGTCCACGGGAAGCCACCTCTCCAGCGAGTCCCAGACCACGGTGGTGTGTAATTACGACATCGGCACACCGCAGCACGGTGCCGACGCTGGAGGTAAAACGGCATTTCAAATCCAGTTGTAAAGTTACATAGTTAAACTAGAAAACATTGTTAGCATTGTTGGCAGCGCCGAACACACAAAGTGACTGCAGTGCTTTCAGGGAGAAAGTACTCAACTGCGGTACTTGTTTAAGGTACAAGTAAGAGCAATTAGTGGTAATGAAGTGCTTTGTGCTTCTCCACTGCAGTCTCTTTAGGTTATGCACCTCCATACTGGTTATTCTCATATTTACTAGCACTGTTGTCTACATAATTGCCCCCCTGTGGGATGAATCCAAAAGTTATTGGATTTACTTGTTCTGCCTTTCTTCTCCCACGTTCAGAGTCAGCAGTGGAGGGTCCTCCCCGCCCTTCCTCTCCTCCTCTGCAGGAGTACAAGGAGACGGCCGTCTTCCTCCTCTCCTCCCGCCGGCCACTCACCTCCTCCTCCTCCTCGTCTCGTCCCCTGTCCTCCTCCTCTTCGTCAGGAGTTGGGGGCTGTGAGGGCGGGGTTGGGGGCCCCCACTGGGAGGATGAAAGCACCAGCAGTGAGAGCAAGTCCAGGTACTGCACTGCTGACGCACACAAACACTTCCCACTTAAGACCATCTTGAATTCACATTAAAACTGGGTAAAGTTGTATTTTAAATGTTCTCATAATATCATAAGATAAGATAAGAGGTACTTTATGGATCCCAAATTGGGACATGTTTGCGTTGCAGCAGCATAAAAAACAAAACAAGGCATTGTCTGAATATTAAGTTATGCTAAATTCAGTACACCATGCAATTAATATGTGATGATAAAAGTATTCAGATACTCCTTATTATTGGGGGACTTTAGTATTTTCCAACCTGGCACATATTTTCCCATGATTCTATGTCTAAGTAACGAATGGGGATAACAATGTTTGCAGTTGGTCCAGTATTGAGCGAGTACGCTGCAGAGGGCATTCGCAAAACAGAGAAGTTGTATTGTCAAAATCTGCTTAAGCTTCAGCCATGACACTGAACATCTTTAAGAAAACACTAAACTATGCTTTTTGTACTCCAACACACCAAACTCTGACAACACAAAATCTCCGTCACGGTTGCTATTTCGTCTTCTGGTAACAACGTCATGTGACACAATAACAAACTCACCGTATCAAATAAAAAGTGGACAAACGTTTTTTTATTTCCCTGTAGAGTCCTTTCTATAATTAGTCACTTATTATAATAATCAGTGGTAAAACAATGTAATATATGTTAAAGTCCTGCATTTAAGACCATACTTAAGTTAAAGTACTTTAAACACAAAAAGCGCTTTGAAGTATAAAAAAAGATTTGTTACTTCGGTATTGTTTTTTCATTAAATGGTTAAAGCTCTGTGTGGGTGGACTGACTGAGCTCTCTATACCCTCTTTAATTTGTTTTCCACCTTCTTATTTCACTGAGAGATACATTTGCACTTTTTGAGTAGTTTTCAAAAGTCGAGGAACTTGTATTTTGGTGGGATATCATAGTATTCTTTCCACTCCTAGAGTCATGTAATATACAATCTAGATATGGTACGGTTTAGCATTGTATTGTGGCTTGAGATAAAGCACACTCACAAGTGATACAAAATCTTGGTAGTGATTTTAAAATACAGCAATTATCATGTATGACAGAAAACAGACTCTGCTTTCTTCTACTTTTTAAAATGGAATCTTTATTAATGCAGGGATACCTTATAATTATTGATTTCCTTATCTGTGATTCAACACAAATGGTTGTTTCTTAGGAACACGTAAGGTAATTTTTGTATTATTATCTAGAAAATATCCTACTGTAAATCTCGATTATTTTGGCAGAACAATCATGACATAACTTTCCCATGTAACATCATCTCCCCTTGCCTGTAGTTCTTCTGGAGGCCGCTACAGGCCGACCTGGAGGCCCAGGAGAGAGGCCCTGAACATCGACAGCATCTTCACCCGACCGAGAGGCCCCTCTCTGGGCTACAACACCCTGCCTGGTCCCTCTCGGCCTCCGGAGCCGCACGACGTCTTTCCCTTGGCAGGCCCTGCTCCCCCCACACCGCCAGGACTGCAGGAGGCTGAAGGGAGGGAGGTTGGGGAGTGTGAGGCAGGGTTTGGGCTGGTCGGACAGCCCAGGTCTCTGGGCGGCGGGCGGACAATGGGTCCTCCTCCCCCTCCGCCTCTGAGAGGGGTGGAACACCAACCGCGTCTGATCCAGAGGATGGAGAGTGGCTACGAGAGCAGTGAAAGAAACAGCAGCAGCCCCGATAGGTACACAAATATCAATTACTGTCTCTTCCTTTCTGTCTCCTTCGGTCATTTTCTTTCCCTCTCCTGGTTTCTCTGTCACGTTCAATCTCATGTTATCAGCGTGAAATACGAATGGGACATTAACAACAAAAAATGGTCCTACAATAGTGGCCAGGACAACAAATCAATCATTGGACAAATTCGTCAAGAGACGTATGATCCTCCCTCAACATTTCTTCCTTCTTCTTCCTTGTCTCTTTTTCTTGTTTTCTTTTTCTTTCATCATGTCAGGGAGGTGGGGCAACAGAAACGGGTACTGATGTCAGGACCTTCTTGGCGTTCGGTGCCAAAGTCAAAGAGCAGCAGTGCCATCCTGCAGGAGCTGCCCTCACCCAGCTGGGTCGGCGGCACCAACACAGGTGTGTGCTCCTGCATGTGTTTGCTTTTTTCTACTGTTAGTACAGCATTTGACCTTTTGATCATTTACATGTTTTCCGTTTTGTTCAGGCGGCCGAGGGCGCAGTGAGCTGGACGAGCTGCAGGAGGAGGTGGCGAGGAGAGCCCGCCAACAGGAGCAGCTGAAGCGAAGGGAGGCGGAGCGAGAGAAGGCCATGGGATTTAACCCCAAACCCAGCAAATTCATGGACCTGGACCAGCTCCAACACCAGGGTATGGCAAAGGAAGGGGGGGTGAAGAGAGAGACAAAAGGAATATATGAGAGGGAGTGAGGGTGCAGGAGAGGTTAGAAGGTTTTAAGGAGACTGAAAGAGGTCAGTTCACACAACTTACATTAAACATATTCACTCAAACTTACAACAGTTTAAAGATACTATGTCTTTGCTGGAGAGTAGCTCCAATGCAGACTGTGTGCATGACGAGAAACCAGAATTAGTAAGAGAGAATATATATTGATTTTCTGTACATTTGTGTGAACTGTCCCTTTATGAATAAGACAACTGCATTTAAAGCTGCACAGGGCAACTTTGTAGTGTTTTATACCCCAGATAGTAAAAAAGATCACTAACCTATTACACAATTTCAATCTAAATGTTTTACTTTGGACAAAAATAAAACACAAGGGTACGTTTATGACTTTTTAATTAGAGGGATGTGAGGCGGTTTGCCGATCCTTGCTAATAAATGGTGTGTTTTATGTTACAATTCTGCCCGCTGTAGCTCTAAGGTCACATTATCACCTGTTGTCCCGTTTAGCAGTCGCAGTGACTTGTGTGCTCTGTCTCCTCTTTGTCCTCATTCCCATCTGTTCGTCTGTCTCTCCATCTGTCTCACTCCGTCGTTATTTTTAATTTGTCTATTACTTCAGTTAGGATACTCTTAGTACTGTATATATTTGTTTTTTGTCTGTCATCCATGAGGGATTTTGTTGCGTGCGTGTTTGTGTTTGTTGCGTGTGTGTATGTGTTTGTGTCTGACAGTTCCAGCTGAGCTCTTGCTGCACTCCTATGGGACGTTCACTGACCATCACTGAGTGGGAAACTTTTTCAGGCTGATTCCCATTCAAAATCTCAATCGCAGTCCAAGTTCAAATCTCTAGGGAAATGAGCTTGTGTTTCTCATTTCACAGGAAGATTGTGGGTTGTGTTTTTCTTGTTAGATGTGTGTGTTTGAGTATATTTGTGTCGCAGTGCATCTTCGTGTGTGTGTGTTGTTGTGAGATTGTGATTCAGAGCTGTAAACGTGAGACTCAGGTAACACTTAAAGGGCCACTCCACCAATTACACATGTCAAATTCGATGTATTTGTCGCAGGGAATAATGTGACTGTAATGTCTTCTGTGGTTTTAGAGCAGCTTCTGATGCTACAATTTGATTTACAGATGAGTCATTTAATTTCTGGCTTTGGGATTAAACGTTTACCTTTTCAAGCTGGGGGCAAGGAGTTTTGGAAGTTTAAGCATATAGCAGGAGGGTATCTGAGGGGTCTTACAAAAACATTTAGAGGTGCTTTATAGGAAGTGTAGGATCAAGTGTTTTGGAAGCGTGACTCATCTTTTCCTGCACCAATTTATCTCTGTCCAAAAAATAGCGGCTATCGGATGCCTTGCTACGAAAATCTTTACAGACATTAATTGTTCCATGAGGATGAGTCATACTGACTATTGCAGTCTCAGGAGGGATATTTATATATTTTATAAAGTACTACAAAAAAGTACAGCTAATTGTGTCAATTTAGGCTGATTAGCTAATTTAAGGTGCATGCTAACACCCTAAACATCAGCTAAACGTCAGCATTATATCATGTTGACACCATAGACCGTATATAATATGGATGTATTCTCTGTGACGCCACACATTGGTTTCTGAGGAGTCGTTGGTAGAGAATAACTCCCGGCTAAGCCTTAATATAATTGATGTGTTTTTTCCAGGCTATAAACATGTTTATTCATGCTGTAACGTTGGGCATGTAACATGGAGATCCTTGTGGATTAACTTCCTTTTGGAGCCAGTTCTGATTCGATGAACTGCAGAGTTTGGCATCCCGCGTTACCTCCTTTTTTTGCCTCTGAGTTTGCAGCTTAGCCGACATTAACAATTAGCTCGGGCCAACTGTGCTTAAAGACTGTAGACTCTCCGTCCTGTTTAATCCGTCTGTGGCTAGTCCATATTTAGGGGCGATGTACTTAATTTCACTAGTCACAATCAGGACTTGAGACGTGACTTGGGCCTGATTAGACTTGAATAATTTAAAGGCAAAAACATTTAAATACACAAACAGTTCAACAACATGCTCTGTCATTTTGATGTGGTCCTTATTCCTTTGTATTTGTGTGTGTGCTCATGTATATTTGGTCCTTGCATCATATCAAATCATATTTGTCTCTGCCTGTGTTACTATTTGAAGAACATATTGGTCTGAATGTGTGTGTGAGAGCAAGAGAGCCTTGTCTGAACGGCAGGTGTGCAGGTTTTCCCCTCCAGCTCAGCACCTAGCTAAAACTATATCAGGGATTATTATGTTCTGTCCTGTCTGTCCTACTGTGTGTGCTTCAGTGTGTTCAGCCTCATGTACCTGACACACACACACAACCTCATACAGAGACACACACACCCCTGTGAGTACACTCAACCTTGATGAAGTGAAAGGACGACTTGCTAGCGAACAGATGGCATCACTATCAGTGCGATTACGTAAAGAATCTGGTTCCCCATATCCCTATTGATGGTTTTATCCGGACTCCAAACAATCTGCCTCAGTGTTTTAGAGGACGTTACAGCCAACGACAACAACAGAGCTGCCACCAACCTTCCTTTATTCTGTCTCTATCAATCAAAAGTCTTTAAAGTCAAGCCAGGATAGGGGATGGCTGCTCTTTTGTTGTCCTCTTACGCATCTTTTTTTACAAGTAACCCCTTTCAGAGTGCGTTCACAAGGCTAGGCACCAAAGGAAGCTTTGTCTTAAAGGATTTCACCTTTTTTCTCTGTCTGGTGTCTGTGGCTTCATGAACGTCAACTTTGCTCCTCTCTTATCTAATCTTGACTTTTTTGACTTACTAACTACAGTCCACGTTTACATATCGATGCATTTACAATAGAGTTGCAAAGCGGGAGGAGATGCTGGGTGTGGAAGGATTTCCCCTCACTATAAAAGTCTTCTTAGAATTTAAAAACTCAGAGAACTAACTCGGGGATCTTTGTTATACTGTAGATTATTAGTATTACATGTGTTTACATTAGCTATCAAAGGTTACTGGTCATATCAGTCCAAATCAAGTTTGAGATGTTAAACACCTAAGTGAATTACATTGCGCCTGGGTATGTTATATTCTTATTGATTAAACTTTAATTTATCATACACTATACAGTATGTGATATTTCATTTTATAAAAGTGCCCTAATCTAGTTTTAAAGATAAGACAAGTTTTGGATTTTGAGTTTGAAGTGTTTCAGCTTTAATTCTTTATAGTCTTTTCCCATCAGTTTAATGGTGAGATTCTTAGTTACCCATGAGTCCCAGCAGCTATAGCTATAAAAAAGAACACGCAAATCTGAGCTGCTCCTACTGCGCATTTGTTGTCAATGCGAAATATAATGAATAGTGGCTTTACCTTTGTATAAATGAACCTATGTAAACAAGTTCTCCAACTACACCTAACAGAACAACACCCTCCTACTTTGCAACTCTATACATGTATAAATACAAACCTTGACTTACAGTAGAGGAGCGTAATGCATGCCGGCCCCCCTCATAACCACTCCTTCTACTCTGCTTCTATTTTCTCCTTTTGTCTCACCTGTTCTGTCATTCTCATATTTTGTCTCTGTCTTTTATCTTTTACTCTTTCCTTCTGGTATTCTTCTTTGATGTTTCTTCTTCTACTTTTGCGTTCGCCCACTCTTTTTCCTTTCTCTGCCACTCCGTCCTTATATCTTTCTTCTTCTTATCTCCCGCTCTGTTGTTAACATCCTCAGCTGTGCTCAGACCCCTGCATGAGGCTAACGCTCATAGCGGATTGGCTGTAGCTGCGTGCATGAGGAGCACTGGGGGCCCAATCAAACGCAGGCAGGAACAGGAAATGGAACGGGAGACAGGAAGCGCCCGCCCACAGGGGCCTCGCAGGTACCACCACTGTCCCCCCTTATGTGTCCGCAGCGGTGCCTGTCTCAAAACCACATCAGACCCCCTCCCTCCCCACCCTCCCTCCTTCACTTCGTGTGTGTCCTCGGCTCAAGCTGTTCTCAAACCCACCTCAGGACCCCTCAGTGGGGGTCCTCTGGGTGCTGGCTGTCCAAAAACACCCTCATATGTGTGTCCTCAGCTCTGGCTGCCCTAAATTCCCAGATGCACTGCACTCTCACATCCTGCTGTATGTGTGTATGTGTGTATGTGTGTATGTGTGTATGTGTCTCACACACACTCGACTTTATACAGTATTCTTTTGTGTCTGTGTGTTTGATGCAGTGCAGTGAAAACCTGCTTTGCTGGGCTCTGTTGCTGCCATCGAGAATAAAAAGAGAGACAGAGTTGCTCTCGGCTTTTCCGTGCTTCACTGCTTCCCTGCATCGTTGTTGTTGTGCTGCTCTTTGTAGCTGTGCGCTGCCAAGGCTTCCCTCGCTCTCTGTGTGCCGCTGATCTGTCCCTCTATGCACTCACTGTAAAGCTGCAGTCCGTCTCTGTGTGTCTGTGCATTGTAGTCACAGATCCTGTGCTGTTGTCTTGTGTGTCTCTGTGCTCTGTGCTGCTGTGCTTCTGTGTCACTCTGTTCTCCTCCTGATGTGTTCGTTTTGCTGTGTGACGAAGGGAAAGTGAGCTTCAGTTGTCATAGAGTGTCACATTTAATATTTCAAAAGAGTGAGGCTGCTCATCTCGCAGCTGAGATATATCATTAATAACATTTCATGATAATTATTAGACTTGCAGGCAAGTATAACGGGGTCCAAGCATGTGGATTTCTTTAAGTTTCACACCATTGGTAAGACAAGAAAAAGATGTCAACTTTTGTTTAGGTGGTCAATTGTCACAATTGTATGGGAGACAATACAGGCTATTACTTATACTAAAGCAATTGTTTTTTTTTATTGCTAACTGTTTTTAAATAGGAAAAACGTTAAAATAGACAACATTAGCAAAAGGAACACTGAAATGTTAATTCAGGGTGTTTTCTTTCTAACTGAATGAAGACTGGTTATGAAAGCAGAGAAGAAAGGTCAACATTCACTAGTGCATGAAAGAGAAATGGTCAATACAGTTTACAATATACAATAATTATGTAAAGAAAACACACAAAATAACAAATATTTTACAATGATATAGTTTCATTTCAAGACTCTTTCTTATGTTAGAATCTTAGGTTAAACTTTTCTGAGTTAGCAAGTTACAGATATTGTGTCTCATAAAGGGTAATTAACACTTAAAATGGTCTTTATTATTATTACATATAGTCCTCCTGCTGCGCTTTAAACAGCTTAATTACTGCGCATGGGTGTTACAATGTGTGGATTTTTACTTAGTCATGTTAACATCGGATTAAGTCTCTGTTTCAGTTCAACTCAGCATGAAAATGAATAAATGTTAAATCCAAACTGTTAACAGCAGGATGGAGGCAAGGAGGAGGAGGTAAAGCTCAGCGCTCAGGCTCTTTTATTACCTTCCTCCTCTCCTCTATTGATCAACACACGCCTCTGATTTATAGCTCGCTGCTGCAAAGCCTGCTGGGTAATTACTAAGGCTGAAAAGAGACGGGGGACTTAATGTGGGGGATGGGGGCCAGCGTTCACGTAGACACAGACAGGTTTGCGCACGCTGTCTTTAAAAATACAAATGTACAGACTATCTGTTCACACACACACACACACACACACACACACACACACACACACACACACACACACACACACACACACACACACACACACACTCCGAGTCTCTGCAGAGAGGCTCCTCTAATGTTCAACATACATCATATTCTCCACATATCAATGCATGTAAATCAATAAAGTAATATAGCGTCCCCCCGCGAGACTGAATTACTCTAGATTGTAGAAGCCACGTTTATTTTCAGTGTTGAGACACAGCACCGGAGCAGCAGAAGCTAAATTGCTGTTTTGATAATCACATTAAAGTCTTGAGATGTTTGAGGTGGATGTGTTCAGATCCGAGAGTTCAGTGTGGTGAATGTGCAGCAGCCTGTCATTAACAGCATGGCAGTGAGAACCCATACACAAACGAAGCGATGCTTGCACAGGGCTGCATCATTGTGTGTTCCTAGCTGTTTGTTCCTTTTGAAAGCAAGCTTGTGTGTGTGTGTGTGTGTGTTTTCTGCTTGTTTACCCTGGTGTGCAGTTGTGACCTTCCCTCTATGCAGTAACTCACCTGACGTCAGAGCAGCTCTGTTTTTGGGCCTTTTCTTTTTTCGTGCTGCATGCTGACTGACACCCTCCCTCTCTTGTCTCCTCCAGTGGACAGCCTGGCCCGGTCCAAGTACTGCTGACGCCCAATCAGGAGGAGGAAGAGGACCAGGCAACGCCCAACCAGGACGCTGCTCTGGGCCCGGGCCCGCCCCCTCCACCCTATCGGCACGCTCCCCCTCGACCCGCGCTCACCCTCAGCATCCCTCACCCTTGCGCCCCTTCCAGCCGAGGGGAGGAAGAGGAGGAGGAGGAGGAGGAGGAGGAGGAGTGTGGATGCATGGGGAGGAGAGGGGAGGAAGGCGAGGATGGGAGGGAGGGGACGGGGGTGAGGCTGTGCGAGTTGCTGCAGGCAGGGGGGGTGAGTGTCAGACCCCTGGGGAAGCACTTAGCTATCTCTCTGCCCTCGCTTCCTCTGCATCTCTGGGATACACACACCATACACACTGCACACTCCACACACCATGAACACACACACTCACGTCCTCCTCCTCCGTCCTATACTCCTGCACCATCTTCCCCTCTGGAAGGCTCCGAGCAAAGGAAACCTCCCTGGCAGCCCCCCCAGCTTCAGTCCCCCACCGGTGCGGCTCATTGGCCGGGGCAAGAAGCCGCGGCTGACAGCGCCACACGTCATTGGTCCTCCTGGAGTCTGGACCGCCCCGACGCCGTGGTGACTCCGTACGACACCCCCCCGGACCGCTGTGTCCCCATCAGGCCGCAGACCACCAGCCAGCAACACAGCTACAGTTGCCAGTCCTCTCCAGGGCACTACAGCTCCCAGCATGCCCCAGGGCAACAGAGTGATCACCGCTGTGACCGCGAAGAGGCTGAGCTGTCTGAGCTTGACTCCCTTTACCAAGCCAGTCTGCAGGCTGGAAGGACAGGTACACACACACACACACACACACACACACACACACACACACACACACACACACACACACACACACACACACACACACACACACACATCCCTACAAGTTTGTACAGAGCAGAAACTTAAAAGTAATCTTTTAGTCATTTTTTAAATGATCAGAACATTTATCAACAACAATTTCATCAAAAGAAGTAACTGTATAAGCCATTGAACAAGCATTAGCTTTCATTATGTTTTACATTGTTAATAGAGAATATCTGGCTTTCAGATTGTTTTGGAAAACAAACATGCAATTTATAGTCTCTACCTTGAGCCTTTGGAATTTCTGAATGAATTATTATCAATGAATCAGTACAAAAGGGAAAAGATGAATTGATACTGAAAATAATTGTCAGTGGTTCTTAATTCTCAAAACAGAAATTGAAATGAACATTCAGTATGTATATAGTTAAGTTAGATTCCTTACTTGAGTCAATCCTATAAATGTACCTAGAGCATTGTATTAAAAACCATGTTTAGAATGGTTTAGAAATGTAAAACAAGCAAAAACCCTATACTACTGTAATGTTCATACCGCTGTCATTTGAAGTCGTTTTTTTTGTATGTAGTATGTTAACACTGAAATGTCCTACATTTGTATATAATAAGAAAATGGTAGCACCAGAGTATTTCTGCAGACAGGTTGTTGCAGCTGATTTGGGTAAATTAAAAAGTATCGCCTAGCACCCCTAACCGAGGAGGCTTTTTGGTATGCTGTCACTTTACTTATTGAAATCACAGAACTTTAAATACAATTTTAGCCAAAAATCCAAAGTTTAAAGAAAATATAAATGACTGAAAAATGTTTATATCAATGCAAAACACATATTTAATCCCTGAAATGGGGCAACCATAAAAACAATATTTTGTGTTTGAACAGTTGACTCAGTAAGTGTGATATATTGCATTAATAAAGGGCCAGACCATAATTATATGAAATGGCTAAATAATGTAAAGCTTAATTTAAGAACGTGGAGAGAAATAGCGTTGAGTTTATTTAAAAGCTGCCACTAAACTAACAGACATCATGAGTGTTCCTGTTTTGACCTCCAGCCCCGCCTGTGTGTTTTTAGGGTGCAGTCCATCAGAGAGGCTGATATCAAGGGTGGGGGGGCAGGGGCGCTCCAAGACCCCCAACGCAGACATGGAGAGGAGTGTGTATGGGGCAGACAGCACCAGCACCCCCACCTACCTCAACAAGGTAACGTCTTTTTAACCGATCCCATCTAACGTTTGCAGGTCTTCAATTGGATCCATTTCCCAGCGTCTGACTGACATTTTCTCCTTGCAGCCAATGACGTTGCGGGATCTGCGTTTGGGGGCGGGGCCTGATGATGGGGAGAACCTGAGACGAATTGGACGGAGCCTGAGCGGCACGGTAGTGACCTCGCGCCGCGGCCGCCTGACTGCAACCCGCAGCTTTGTGAGTGTGACTTCCTGTGCTCTTCTGCCTCCCTGTGGCCGTGCTGTTAAACTGCATCAGCCTGAATGTGGCGTCGCCGTGGAGCTTTTACACATCCCTGTGCTCTATCCTCCAGCTGTTTGTCTCATTTCTCCCTTTTGTGCTGCTTTCCAACCTGTCCTCCTCTCTCTGCTTCTCTTACCTCTCTCAAAGGTGAAGCAGGCTGATGTCAGTGCCTCTGCTTGCTTACTTCCTCTCTTCTGAATCCCTGTTGCTCTTCCACCACTATCATCTCCTCCATCCTCCTCATCACCAACACCTTCTCATCACCACTTCCCTCCTCCGCTTCACAGGTAAACACTGCGCTGGGCTCATGTATGGCGTGACTTTTATAATCTTTAAAGGAACATACCACTCAGCTGCTTAAGAGGACTGCACACATCTCCTTGGTTACGCTACTTTGAGTTCCAGATAATATTTTGGTGAACATTTTGTTTTCTGGCAAACTCATCTGGCACAAAGTAGGCTAAGCCACTATTAGCACATAGCTCAATCCTGTGGACGTGCACTAATTTGTAAATACTGTGGAAAGGCAGGTTATATTCCACAAACTCCAACGTGCATCCTTTTTATAAAAACAGTTTTATCCATCTAAATTCATCATTCTTCTTTTAGGACCCACTCTGATCACAAAATGAGTTGCACGCACAGGTTATCTCCAACTTTTGAAGCCAAAATGACACAGACATAAACTGCAGCCTTGTCTGGTTTGTTTGCGTCATTAAAGGTCTCTCTGTTTTGGAGATGTTTTGATATCCTGAGGAAACGGCTCAGATGTTCACACTTCCAAAGTGCAAAAATCACACCTAAATGTGGGAGCACATCGATCTGAAATACTTTTATGAGATGCTGTTATTCTCTGATATATATTTTCAGTAATGTCTCTTACCCTGTATCACTTCAGCTCTTACATTCTTTTTTTCAGAATGGATACGTTATACATTAAACTGAAAGTTGAACCTGAAATGTGTCAGTAATATTATAATTACAAAACAGAGGACTAAAAACGTTGGTTAGACACTGGCACATTTTTAAATCAGTTTCGGATGTGAGGTGGATTACAATGTAACAAGTTGCCCAGATATTATTATTATTTTATATAAAGGGAGATGAATACGCAGGTTTCTAGTATTTTATGTATTCTATAATCTATTTCAAGGTAATTCCCAGGAAATATGATACTCTACACATTTTTTACACAGCATAAGCACACATTAATTAGGCATATGACTAGAAAAAGGAATATACATTACTATAAATACAAGACATCTTAACCACATGACAACCAAAATATATATATTCTTTTCATTTCTTGCTCATAACACTTACATGTGTGGATGACTCAACTCACTTTACATTGAATTCTTGTCAAATTTCAATGATCCAAAAGTAAAATGACGACTTGAAATTGTCGATCAGTATACATTACAAGACAGGGAGAACAAAATAATTAAACTAAAATGGTGCAGCAACAACGACATCTTGTGTTTGAACGGTTTGTATTCAATACATAATTCATGTTGTGAAAGCGTGTTGGACAACATGTTCTACTTAGTGTTAGATTTAACTAGAACATGGGGAACATCAGGGATCAAGTACAGTCATGTAAAAGCTGCACCAAATATCACATTTAAACAGATTTAAACTGTACAGATTATGCTATTTGTTCAGAACATCTGTATGTGTTCAGGATACTAAATTGAACAATCCATGCTTCTATAAATCTTAATTCCTAGAACATTTGTGGCCGCTCAAACTGATTGATGGATTTCTAGGTGAATAAATACTTGATCTCTTCTGCTCCAAATCTACTTCACAGTTCAGCTCTTAAACTTCTCTCACTGTTTTAATTCCAAGTGCACCTTCATACTAATCTGACCTGTTGTCTCCTCTTTTATTTTAGGAGCTAACAGGGAGTACAGGGAGTTTCTGGCTGTGTCTGACGGGGGTCAAGGTGTCTTCTGACCGGAGTCCCACTCTGCTTCACTAACGTCTCACAGTGTGGGGGGGGGGGGGGCAGCAGCCATGACGGACCTAGAATTGGCTCCGGAGGATCTACTCCTATTATGTTCCTCCTTCTCCTCCCTTAAACAACATGCACGCACACATGCACATCTGCATTGACGTAGAGCCTCCCTCAGCGCCTGCAGCACCCCGCTTACCTCCCCCTACTCCCCCCCTCCCCTTTCTTGACCTACTATTCTGTCTATGCAGTCACTCTGACCCCCAAACTACAACCTCAACCTTCCCACCTACTTCCCGGGACTCTTGTTTCTCCCCCCAGAGAGGTTTCTCTGTGCGAGCGTAAATTCACCCCCTTCATCCTAAAGGAACCTCAGCTCAGGGGGGAGACCCCTACTAAGTAGCCACGCCTCTTCCTCTTTCTTCACGGGCATTTCCTGTTGGACGCACACATAGCCGAACTGGGTCTGTTTTTAGATGGACTGCCATACTTTTTCTCTTTTTCTTTTCGTTCGTTTTTTTCTTCCTGTGTGCGCGCACAGTAAACCCGCCCGGAGACTGAACTCACTAATAACAAAAAGTCATGTACAGAAAAACTCATGTATGAAACCTGTATGTTAATTAATAAGACCTTATGGAATGTTGATAATGATAATTAATGAATATTGATAAACTTAAAGTGGTACTTCCTCATGTCTGCTTTTCAAATAGGAGTGGAGTGCACTTCACAAGTGTCTAGCTGGAGATTCCGCCCCCCCCCCCCCCCCCCCAAACCTGCTCGCCGACCTAAATGACAGCTCTCCCGTTTCTACCGGGAGATTAAACAAGAAAAGCGCTTCTTTTTTTCTCTTCTTTCCTTTCTTTCTTGCTGTCTTTGATTCACGCTTGCTCTTTTTCTTCCAAAACCGGAAACAGTAGCACCAGAAATTGGACACAGGGGAGGAAAGTCGAGTAGGAATGAGAGTATGTACGTTCGGAGACCCTTCTCTGAGTATTCATCAGTGAAAACATTGATTGACTTAAGTGCGCTTTACAAGGTTACATGGCAGAAGTGCACTTTCCGAAAGCTATTTGACTGAGAAGCAGCTCGATGGCGGTTATTTTACTTAAAGGCCTCAGGTGAATTTCAGTGGCACTTACAGATTCACACTATTGTTTTCCCCTCCCACTGAAACTTGTTTGAGACCTCAGATGTTAATAGGAAATGCTCATCTTCAGCCTGAGACAGTGACATGTCTAATATGAATATGCTTTATATGATATATATGTATTAGAGGTATATTTTCGGCCAGTGAGCTATCTTCTTCAGAGATGTCAACCATTCCTCAGTTGTATGAACAGTTATAACTTCATTCACCCCCTTTACTGAGGAGCGTTCTGACATGTGTAGAGTACATTTATTATATGCTTTATTCTATTTAATAATATATACAAATAACAAAGTCCTTATACAACAACTGGCCAATGTAAAGTTCTTTTAGAATTTACTGATGTTGATTGATCGTTGTAACTAAACCAAAGGTTGGCACTTAACTCAGAGAGCGTATTTAACATTGCTGTTTTTATTTTCATTTAGATTTTGTTGTTGTTTTTGTTAGTTTTTTTGGGTTTCTGGATTTGGGAGAATGTAGCCAATTGTAGCGCATGAGTCCGCTATGCAAATCAACCTTCCCTCACGATCCTGTATCGGAGACAGCCAGGAGGCAGACACACCCACCCACGGGCGCCCTCATGGACTCTGGCAGAGACACGGAGGAGTGGAGGAGATCTCATGTTCAATGCTGCTGGTGAACTTTGTTGTTCTGCATCTAACTGCTATGTTTCAACCTATGGAATGCAAAAAGAGAGCAACAAGGAGGTAGTGGGGAGCAAAAAAAAAAAAGGGAGAAAGAGCGAATGAATGTAAACTAAAGGATGAAAGTGTGTGTTTGTGAATAGTGTGAGGGTGAGAGACACGAGAGGTTCTGAGAGTGAAGAGTTTACCACTGCAGGTGCATTGTATGTGGGTGTGTGTAGACTGTGTGTGTCAGTTCTGGGGTGGTGTTGCTCGGGGAAAGAGGGAACCTGTATTTTTGCAATAAAGTTATTACCAATGCACTCCCACAGGGGGCGTAACCACCGTAAAATGTCTGTGTCATCCTTTGGTTGAGGCAGTGGTGGAACATTTCGTTTTTAAACTTTAGTTACTTTCAAGAGTCAGGATGAAATACCAAATATAATCAATAAATCATTTATCATGTTTTAATATACGTTTTCTTGGTTAAATTGGCAAGCAACCCATAAGTGTAAAGAAGAACTAAAGAAAGGTCGTCCAGGTGCAAAATGAAAGTCACAATGTTAATTTATAAATAATATTAATCCAATAAAGTATCAGGAGAAGAGAAACGTTAATGACCAAATACAAACCAAGAAACACATTATTATATTCTCTAAATCTACGAATGATATATAGTAGCATTTTAAGACTTTTCCTATTTCAGAAAATGTTTTTTGTCCCATTATATACTTGTAAAATCCATGATTGGAACTCCAAAAAAAGCTCCTTAAATATTTAAACAGGTGTCTGCTCCCGTATCTTACTTAAACATGACATAATGACCACGTCAATATTGTTTAGGCCAGTTATAGATAGAACACATGTATACACCAACAATTAAATGCTAATTTGGTGACCTCCTAAATAATCCTCACATCACTGACAAAAATACAGTAATTGCATTTTTTTTTTTTTAAATGCTGAAATTTGAGTTCTAACAATACAATTTAATCATGTAGGCGAAAAACTTCCTGTGAATTGTCAGACGTGAACTTATTTCTGTATTTATAGTGGCATCATTGTGGAGGGTCTGGTGTCAACAGGAAGTAGAATGTCGCCAATGGGGTCAGTTAGCTGTGGGCTACAACTTGAGACCCGTTTTTGTTGAGCCTATATTTATCAAAATGTTGGTAAATTGAAACATAAAAATATCCCGAGTTAGCTATTACAAGTTCCTGTTTGTAATGATATCCTTTATGTACGAAAAAACAAGCACTACGTATATTTATACTGAAGAAAACTTAAAAACGTTTAGAATCCCAAGCTAGTTCCAGAGTTATAATGAGCGTCTTTTTGCGGATCTCTGGACTCAATTTATATGAAAAGCGGAGTCCACGGTAAGTGAATATACTGGATCTAAACATTTGTTTTTCAAGTCTGTGTGTTCAGATTTGACTGAGTTATATAATTAAGGAATTTGTGGATAAAAAAAGCTGGAACAAATTAAACCAATTTCAAAACAATACACATGTAGGCCTACTGTTTTAATGCACGCTACTTTACCTGGCACTGGCAGTATTTATTTGTCTTGTCATGTTATACTTCTACTAATTTAAGAGGGAATTAGGCCTACTATAGGGCCATGAAGTTAGTTTTATGTTGGATACTGGACCGACATTCTTCTTGCACAGTTTAACAGATTGTCGGAACATGGTTTTAGGGACCATCAATAAATGACTGTTGGAGTGACACAAAACCAATGTTATTTTAAATACCTCTGTGCTCACTTGCTCCTATAAGTGAAAATGATCTTGTGGCAAATCAAATCCTTTTAAATACTGCTGTGTCATGAATTGATTCAAAACAATCTTTCCATAGAAGGGTTATAATCTTAAATAATAAGTCACATCTTTTTGTATTTATTGATTTTGGTCAATTTTCTATTATATATGAATATTTTTATGAAAATGCAGCATTCTTTATGAAAAGTAATGTATTCCTATGACAATACACCTCTTCCTATAGGATTTTAGTCCACGTTCTATATTTAAATAATATATCTTTATGAAAAACTTGCAGTTTTCCATCAAAATGCCTCTAAATGCAGGACTTTTAAGAGTAACTATTTCTACACAGTGGTAGTTTGGTGTTTTTACCTATACAGTCAATGGTTTTTAAAATATTTCAGTAGGGTTCTTTTTCGACCAGTGCATATTCGAGTTGCAAGAACTACATGTGTCATAACTACACATGCATTTGTCAATTACATTTTTTTCAATAACATGAATTTTCCAATTGTGGAAAATAGGTATGGTTTGACATTAACTAAAGATGCATAGAATAACAAGTGGATAAATGTTTCTATTGTAAATCTGGTGGTCATAAAACGGTTACAAAGGTACTACTTTGTTGAGCTCCAAGTGAATATATTTGAGTGTTGGCCAGTCTGCAGTTTGTGCCTCTACCACTAGATGTAAGCAGTGATACACTGGCCTCCCAAATGCTTTCACACATTCAATGACTCCCACTCATTCATAGTGTACACACACAAATATATAACCACTCTTTTCACTTCTTCAGAAAACCTCTTGTTGTCAACGTTTTTGCTTCGCACTCAAAGTAACAATTAAAAGTTTGACAGAGATTTTGAAAAATAAAATGTCTGGATTCCCTGCAGAACAGAGCAAAGAAAAGGTGATGAATCAATAGCCATTACCTTTCACACACACCTCTCCCCGGTACTGGGAGAGTACATGTAATGGTTATTTGATGTCAGTGTGTGTTTATAGTCCTGCCATCCTTTTGGAACCAGTGACCTGAATTCAGAGAAACTGTAGAATGTTGTTTTTAAGTACAGTCGTTTTTATTTGCCCTCTCTAGTCTCACTACTTCAAAAACTTCAATACATTTGCTAAATGTTGCTTCTGTTCTGATATCATACCTCCAGGCAGTAAATTTTTTAAATAAAAAACCCTTCAAGTTTTCTTTTGAGTTGATTTTACCAGTTATCTGACATTATGGGGGAGCCTCTAATTAGAGACACAATCGTTAGTTGATTGATTTTCTATTCAATGATATAAGAAGTTGCTAAGTGATGAAAAGCATCTCTCTTAAAAATGTCATTAGTGGTTTCCAAGCATCGAAACAACCTTAGCCAAAATGAAAAAAATATTAACTTTCAAACACAAACAAGAGCAAACATAGATGTAGTTATACAGAAACACAAATGGTGAAAACCAAGACTAAATGAAAAGGTTGAAAGCAATGATGTGGAAATGAACACAATGTACCAAATATTTGTTGATGTTGTCAAGGCAAATTATATCAGGTCGAGACAAATAAGACTTAAGGTGTCAGTATAGGCGGTGTGTATTAGTGATTATGGCTGGCCAAATAGCTTTGGAAACCTCTTTCCCCAACACCTTTCCAATGTAGCATTTGTTAAAGTACAGCTGATAGAAATCTGAATAATTTTGCAGGTAATTGGTCCTGAACCAAGTTTTGGACACATTAAGAATTCTGACATTATATTGGCGCTAGATGACTAGTTAGGATCATCAAAGCTATTATGGTTCAACCTGTTGGGAACATGAATATACCACAGTAATCCTTTATCCTATACTGTAGTTGCAAAGAAATGTCACCTTGGACTAGAGTTCAATGTCCTTTCAGACCGACATTTATATTCTTAGAGCATGGAAAGGAGGAAAGCTCCTCTATTGTGGACAAAGAGTTTTCTTGACTTTAGACATTGATATCTTCACATAGACTGAATGGATTTTTACAATATGAACTGCTTTTAAAATCCATGTTCTTTTGCAATTTGAACTGCTAAGATGGATCTTACCAATTTCTAGCAATAAGGACGCAAAGATGTCCCCAAAGAGGGGAACACAACTTAAAACTTAAAATATAAGATAAACAGCCTCCTGAAACGATCTAGAAAAGTTCAGATATTTAAACAAAAGAAGTGGTTGGGACCTGTGATGAG